ACCACTGACTTTGCACTTAGCAGGCTAATGCTTTGCCCGCTACACCACCAGAGTTCATTTTTTTTAAGTGAGATAGATGAAAGAAAGAAAGAGATAGATAGATAGATAGATAGATAGATAGATAGATAGATAGAAACCAGACAGGAAAAGACATTCACTCAGGGTCACCTCTGTGGCTGGCCCCAGAAACAAAGGGAAGTGCTGTCCAAACTCACCAATGACCAAAGGGACACGGATGACGACAAGACACTGTGCTTCTCACACGACGTTGGCAGCAGCATTGAAAGATGCTAACAGGTGGTGCTGGCAGAGGCCCGGCATTGCCAGTGGGATTAGGAATGCTGCCCTCCTCTGAAGGGCAACCACATCATGGGCACTACTCCCCTTAGCTAGCACTCTGCCCTTCCACGCAACCAGCCTGCACCTGAGCCCTGTGACCTAAAGAAATGGAGCAGACGTGCTTATGCCTCCGACAACCCTGAGCCAACTGGGGGCAGTGGGTTAGACGACGGACTGAGGTCAAGCTGGAGAGCAGATTCGGGGGGTGGGGGTGGGGGGTGACCTCTGAAGATCCCACACAAAACCGTTGTGCTTCCGATCTCGTGAGGGAGGCCTAGTCCCCGGAAAGGCCTGCAAACAGGAGGCCTTGTGAGCAGAGCTGGACGGAGCCTGGTCCCCAGTGTGTCTGGGCGGGGAGGGGACTGCATTCTGGGGACTCACATGGCTGTCACCCAGCACAGTGCCCCTCGCTCGCCCCAGATCGAAGACTAGACTTCTCACTGGACTATCAGCACGACCCTCCTCCCCAGGCCTTCCTCCCTGGCAGGCCAGCCTTGCTGCCAAGCTGGCTGTGGGCCAGCCACTGGTGGGTGGAAGGCGGAGCCCTGCCTCAGTGCTGGAGTCTGGCCTTGAGGCCTCGAGGGGCTTGGAAGGGGAGGGAGACAGCCCTGGGGTCGGCAGGTGGGGCTGACAGGCGGGCAGCACCTGTATTGGCTGTAAACACGGGTTTACCATGAAACCATCTCTTGCCCCAACAAGCCCGGGATTAGCGCTCTGACAGTGAGCCTGCAAGCAGCAGAGGACAGGAGGGGGAGGACAGAGGGCGAAGACTTAGATGGGGGGGTGGAGCTGATGCTCTGCTCCTCAGAGCCCCCAGGGCTGCCGGGGACCCAGACTCAAATGGCTTAGCTGCTGCTATGGCCCAGGCTGTCGGTAGCCCCCTCCTACATCCGCGATTGCCAGCCTGCTCAGGAGGAGGCCTGCACGAGCGGCCAGGACCACTGACGGGCAGTGGCAGTATAGGGGAGTGGGATGGGCTTGCGGCAGTGATCACTTCTTTTCCTTGAGAACGGGATTAAATTAAAAGCAACCACACACCACCCTCGAGTGGAGGCCCACTCACAGCGGCCCTATGGGACATGGTAGAGCTGCCCCTGTGGGTTTCCAAGGCTGACTCTTTGTTCTGGGTTTTTTCAGGGTTGATTTTTTTTTCTCTTTTAAAAATCATTTTATTGGGGGCTCGTGCAACTCTTATCACAATCTATATATCTATCCATGGTGTCAAGCACATTTGTACATTTGTTGCCATCATCATTCTCAAAACATTTTCTATCGACTTGAGCCCTTGATATCAGTTCCTCATTTTTCCCCTCCCTCTCTGGGCCCCTCCCTCACGAACCCTTGGTCATTTATAAATTATAGCTACTTTATCATGTCTTACACTGTCCAATGTCTCCCTTTACCCACTTTTCTGTTGTCCATCCCCCAGGGAGGGGGTTATATGTAGAGCTTTGTGATCAGTTCCTCCTTTCTACCCCACCTTCCCCTTCCCCTCCTGGTATTACTACTATCATTCTTGGTCCTGAGGGGTTTGTCCTGGATTCCCTGTGTTTCCAGTTGCTATCTGTACCAGTGTACATCCTCTGGTCTAGCCGGATTTGTAGGGTAGAATTGGGATCATGATGCGGGGAGGAGGAAGCATTAAAGAACTAGAGGAAAGTCATATGTTTCATCGTTGTTATACTGCATTCTGACTGGCTCATCTCCTACAAGACTAACTCTTTACAGGAGTAGAAAGCCCGTCTTTCTCCCGGTGAGCGGCCGGTGGTTACAAACTAATGACCTTGCACTTAGCAGGCCAGTGTGTAACCCCAAGTAGCACAATGTCCAGTGTGGCTCAGCGGCCCACAAGAGCTTGCTTCTCCCCTTGGCACCCACTCTTTCCCCTCTACACTTAGAGCCAGAGCCTCCCTGTCTCCTTCACAGGACGGGCCACCTCCTGCCAGGGCGCCCCCCTCTCCACCTGGCCTGGGAGAGGGGATCCTGGTGCTGAACTCGAAAGGCCATGGCCACCTGTCAGTCTGCTTTGTGTCCTGGCAGGTGGTCCCAGGAAGAGACCATCACGTCCATGTCAAGGGGCTCAAGCTCTGTGGATGCTTCTGGGTCTCAGGTTCCTCAGTCGCGCAGCCGGCCTGCCTCAGAGGGCCGGGGATGGGGGTGGGGAGGGAGTTACTTCCGTGGAAGGTCCCAGGGTTTCTGACCCTCCTCTCAGGCCCAGGGATTGCTCCATTAAGGCCTGACCCTGGGGTAAAGGAATTCTTTTGGCCGGGGAGTAATGGTGCGCCTGGCACCTGACGCTGCCAATGACACGGTTCTCCGGTCCTGCTTTGCCCTGGGGCTGTTGGGATCTTTCCTTTCACCTATGGGCACTTGATGCCACTGGGTGTACACCATGGCCTTTTAGATCCAAATGGATAGTTCACCGACACTGTGGGGTGTGTGTGTGTGTGTGTGTGTCTGCCCTCCGACTATCATGCCAGACACTAATGCTATGCACCCCCCTCCTTTTGCCTGTGCTGTGAAATCATAAGACTTCTTTCCCAAACCATTTTGCTAGAAGTTAATCCCGACATCATACCACTCCACAGTTCAATCACAGGGAGCAGTGCTGTGTAACTGCCACCACAATCAGTTTCAAAACGTTTTCTTCCATCTGAACGCCTTGATATCTATCAGCTCACCCACATCCCCTTACTTCCTCCACCAAATCCCCCAGGAACCCTCATTCTAGTTTTCTCTACCTGTCCTGGGTTTCATATACCAAAAAACATAGAAAACCACATAGCAAAGATTCAAAAAGGCTGCCAACAATGACAAAATTCAATAGCGATAAACTCCACTATGGAAGAAAAATAAAAGCCACAGAAAATATTAAAAACCAAATCAATACAGAGGAAGTACAGAGAGCCAAATGAAGGTCGAACATGATAGTGGGAAAGGAGAAAAGTAAAAGGAAATTAGAGGAAATAACTAGAAGACAAAAGACATTTATACAGGTATAAACATAGGCATGTACATATGTCAACATATTAATATATAGCTAGTTATTAATATATACATGGGGATATGAGTCTATGTATACTGTATATATTTATAGGTTAAGTATTAAGGTAGGAAATGGACATTGGGCCTTTGCTCAAGCCCTCCCTCAGCTCAAGAATGCTTTGTTCTAATAACCCGGCCTTCTTTGGTGCTCACCTTCCTGACAAGATTGCTGAAGACAAAATGGATGTACAGGCAAATGTGGTGAAGAAAGCTGATGGTGCCCAGCTATCAAAAGAAAAAGTGACTGGGGTCTTAAAGGCTTGAAGGTAAACAAGCGGCCATCTATCTCAGAAGCAACAAAGCCCACATGGAAGAAGCACACCAGCCTGTGTGATCAAGAGGTGTTGATGGGATCAGGTATCAGGCATCAGAAGACCCAAAACAAAAACCATTTCAATGTGAATAAGGGATTTCGGAGAGGAGACCCAAAACCCATCTGTAGACAATTGGACATCCCCTCACAGAAGGGTCACAAGGAAGAGATGAGCCAGTCAGGACGCAGTATAGCACCGATGAAGCATACAATATTCCTCCAGTTCTTTAAGGCTTCCCCCCCTCCCTCCCCCAACTATCATGACTCCAGTTCTACCTTACAAATCCAGCTAGACCAGAGCACGTACACGGGTACAGATCAGAGCTGGAAACACAGGGAATCCAGGACAGATAACCCCTCAGGGCCAATAATGAGAGTAGTGATACCAGGAGAGAAGGAGAAAAGTGAGGAGAGAAGGTGGAGAAAGGGGGAACCTATGGCAATAATCGATATACAACTGCCCCCCACCCCCACCCCCCTACCCCTGCCAGGAGGACAAGCAGCAGAAGCTTGGGTGAAGAGAGACAGAGGTCAGTGTAAGATATGAATAACAATAATTTATAATTTATCAAGGCTTCAGGAGGGGGTAGGATGGGGGAGGGAGGGGAAAAGAGACGCTGATACCAAGGGCTCAAGTAGAAAGGAAATGGTTTGGGAATGATGGAAACATATGTACAAATGTTCTTGACACAATCGATGTGCAGATTGTTATGAGCTGTAAGATCCCCTAATAAAAAGATTTATTAAAATTTAAAAAAAATCAAGCTCAAAGTGTATGAGAGGGGAGATCAGGCTTCAACTGTTCACAAAGGTGGGTTTGGGGTTGGTTTGGTGGAGACTGTAAGGTAGCAGAGGGAGCTATCTCTCTGTTTGGGGTATTTATTTAGGTCACCTGGAGCAGAGCCGGCCTGCTCAGAGGTGACAGAGGGCGGCACGGGTATGGGACAGCAGGCAGTGATCCTGGAGGAGGCTGGGTGGGGGTATGGGGCAATGGTAGGGACCCTTGTGACCCCCTTTGCACCAGTACAGAGAGGAAGTGCCAGGAACCTGGGCAGTCAAGCCCCATGGGGTCCATTTCTTCCGTGAAGTGGCAGGCAGAGGAGGTATGGATGGGAGCTGAGGAGAGTGGTGGGCCTTGGGTGATTCCTTGGGTTGGGGGTGAGGGGCCTTGGGAACAGGTGAAAGTGTCCCTGAGCCTCCCCAGATCTCCCTTCCTCTGGAAGGGGCCAGCCTTTGGTCTTTGGCCTCAAGAGCCATGAAAAACTAGCACTGTCCAGGAACCTCCAGTCTCAGTGTTCCCCGCATGGCCCTGCGCACCGCTCTGGTGTGCCATCCCTTCACAGCTGGACCCCGCATCCCAAGCTGGACCCCGCATCCCAAGCTGGACCCCACATCCAAGCTGGACCCCACATCCAAGCTGCTGCCTTGTATCGGGCTCTCCTCCTGTCCCTGTCACACACTGCGGGTGCGCTGACCTCCTGCTGGGCTCACTGAGGCCCAGGACTGGGCACTGAACGCCCTCTGCTGACCAAGTTGAGCGTGGGCACCACTTCTGGTGGCCAGAGGCTCCCTCTGTCTCTTCCAGAAACCCTTCAGTGTGCTTTTGGGAAATCTCAGTCCCGCACAAACCAAAAAACCAAAACTCCTCCACGGTGCCCTCAACCTCCTTGACCCTTTGTGCTCTGACGGAAGCCCTGCTGTCTGTCCCCTGCAGACAGATTCCTCGCTCTCCACACCCCATCCCTGCCCCAGGCCTGTTGTGGGACACGGTCCTCCTTGCGCCTCAGTGCTTGCTCGTCCGGGCCCTCATTCGATCTGAGTATGCCCAGGACCACCACCCCTCCCCATGGGAGACTTCATCATCTGGCTCAAGGCCAAGGCCCCACCACCAGCCCTGTCCCTGTCCCAGACCCCTGCAGTGTTCACATAGACAGCCCTGGGAACGCTGAACTCACCCGCTCCAGAGACCCGGCCTCCAGCCTTATCAGCTGCTCACTCCCACCATCTTACTCTTTTTATTTTTATTATTTAAAGATCATTATTGGGAGCTCTTACAGCTCTTATAACAATCCATACATCGATTGTATCAAGTGTATTTGCAATAGGTTTTCATTATTATTTATAGACATTTACTTTCTATTGAACTCTTGGTATCAGCTTTTTTCCCCTCCCTCACCCCCCCAACCTCGTGACCCCTTGATAAATTATAAATGATTATTATTTTCATATC